AAAAAAAAAAAAACACAATGACACAATGAAGAAGCCACGTCAACTAACAGGCAAAACAACCAACCAGTAACAAAATAGCAGGATCAAATTCAAACATAACAATATCAACATTGAATGTAAATGGCCTAAATGCCCCAATCAAAAGACACAGACTGGCAAAGTGGATAAAAAGTCAAGACCCATTGGTGTGCTGTATTCAGGAGACCCATCTCACATGCAGAGACTCACATAGATTCAAGGGGATGGAAATGATATACCAACCAAATGGAAAGCAAAAAAAAAGCAGGGGTAGCAATCCTAGTCTCTGATAAAATGGACTTTAAACCAACAAAGATCAAAAGAGACAAAGAATGGCATTACATAATGGTAAAAGGATCAATGCAACAAGAAGAGCTAACTATCCTAAATATATATGCACCTAATGCAGGAGCACCCAGATACATAAAGCAAGTTCTTAATGACCTATAAAGAGACTTAGACTCCCACACAATAATAGTGGGAGACTTTAACACTCCATGGACAATATTGGACAGACCAACAAGGCAGAAAGTCAACAAGGATATCCAGGACTTGAACGCAGATTTGGACCAAGCAAACCTTATAGACATTTACAGGACACTTCACCCTAAATCCACAGAATACACATTATTCTCAGCACCAAATTGCACTTACTCCAAAATTGACCACATATTTGGAAGCAAATCACTCCTTGGCAAATGCAGAAGAATGGAAATCATGACAAACAGTCTCTCAGACCACAGCATAATCAAATTAGAACTCATGGAAACTGAACAACTTGCTCCTAAATGATGAATGGATAAACAATGAAATGAAGGCAGAAATAAAAGTGTTCTTTACAACCATTGACAATGAAGACACAACATACCAGATCCTATTGGACACATTTAAAGCAGTGTCTAGAAGGAAATTTATAGCAATAAATGCCCACATGAGAAACAAGGAAAGATCTAAAATCGACACCCTATTGTCAAAATTGAAAGAGCTAGAGGAGCAAGATCAAGAAAACTCAAAAGCAAGCAGAAGACAAGAAATAACTAAGATCAGAGGAGAATTGAAGGAGATAGAGACATAAAAAACTCTTCAAAATATCAATAAACCCAGGACCTTGTTTATTGAAACGATCAACAAAATAGACTGCTAGCTAGACTAATAGAAAAGAGAGAACAATTGAATAGATGCAATAAAAAATGATAAAGAGATCACCACCAATTGCTCAGAAATCCAAACTACCATCAGAGATTACTGCAAACAACTCTATGCACATAAACCAGTAAACGTGGAAGAATTGGATACATTCCTGGACACTTGCACACTCCCAAGAATAAGCCAAGAAGAAGTTGAAACGTTGAATAGACGAATAACAAGGTCTCAAGTCAAGGCAGCAATTAATAGCCTACCAACCAAAAAAAAGTCCAGGTCCTGATGGGTTCACAGCCAAATTCTACCAGACATACAAAGAAGAGGAGCTGGTACCATTCCTGTTGAAACTATTCCAAACAATACAAAAAGAGGGAAACCTCCCTAACTCTTTCTATGAGACCAACATCATCCTGATACCAAAATCTGGCAGAGACATAACTAAAAAAGAAAACTTCAGGCCAATATCCATGATGAACATGGATGCAAAAAATCTTCAATAAAATAGTGGCAAACCAAATCCAACAGCACATCGAAAAGCTTATCCACCATGATCAAGTAGACTTCATCCCAGGGATGCAAGGCTACTTTAACATACATAATTCTATAAACATAATTCACCACATAAACAGAACCAAAGACAAAAACCACATGATTATCTCAATAGACACAGAGAAGGTCTTTGACAAAATTCCACAGCCCTTTATGCTAAAAACTCTCAATAAACTAGGTATTGATGGAACGTATCTCAAAACAATAAAAGATATTTATGAGAAACCCACAGCCAATATCATACTGAATGGGCAAAAACTAGAAGAATTCCCTATAAAAACTGGCACTTAACAAGGGTGCCCTCTCTCACCACTCCTATTCAATATAGTATTGGAAGTTCTAGCTAGAGCAATTAGGCAAGAAAAAGAAATAAAGGGTATTCAATTAGGAAGAGAAGAAGTCAAATTGTCCCCATTTGCAGACAACATGAATGTATATTTAGAAAACCCCATTTTCTCAGCCTAAAACCTCCTTAAGCTGATAAGCAACTTTGGCAAAGTCTCAGGATACAAAATCAATGCGCAGAAATCACAAGCATTCCTGTACACCAATAACAGACAAACAGCCAAATCATGAGCGAACTCTCATTTACAATTGCTACAAAAAGAATAAAATATCTAGGAATACAACTAACAAAGGATGTAAAAGATCTCTTCAAGGAGAACTACAAACCACTGATCAAGGAAATAAGAGATGACACAAACGGATAAACATTCCATGCTCATGGTTAGAAAGAATCAGTATTGTGAAAATAGCCATACTGCCTGAAGTAATTTATAGATTCAATGTTATCCCCATCAAGCTACCATTGACCTTCTTCACAGAACTGGAAAAAAACTGCTTTAAACTTCATATGGAACCAAAAGAGAGTCCACATAGCCAAGAAAATTCTAAGCAAAAAATACAAAGCTGGAGGCATCACGTTACTTGACTTCAAATTATACTATGAGGCTACAGTAATCAAAACAGCATGGTACTGGTACCAAAACAGAGATATAGACCAATGGAACAGAACAGAGGCCTCTGAAGCAATGCCACACATCTGCAATCATCTGACCTTTGACAAACCAGACAAAAACAAGCAATGGGGAAAGGATTCCGTTTAATAAATGGTGCTAGGAAAACTGGCTAGCCATATGCAGAAAGCTGAAACTGGACCCCTTCCTTACACCTTATACAAAAATTAACTCCAGGCGTATTAAAAATTTAAACATAAGAACTAACACCGTAAAAACCCTAGAAGAAAACCTAGACAACACCATTTAGGACATAGGCACAGGTAAAGACTTCATGACCAAAATACCAAAAGCAATGGCAACAAAAGCCAAAATAGACAAATGGGATCTAATTAAACTTAGGAGTTTCTGCGCAGCAAAAGAAACAATCATTAGAGTAAACCAGCAACCAACAGAATGGGAAAAATTTTTGCAATCTACTCATCAGACAAAGGGCCAATATCCAGAATCTACAAAGAACTAAAGCAGATTTACAAGAAAAAAACAAACCCAATAAAAGTGGGTGAAGGCTATCAACAGAGGCTTTTCAAAAGAAGGGAAATATGTGGCCAACAAGCATATGGAAAAATGCGCATCATCATTGGTCATTAGAGAAATGCAAATCAAAACCACATTGAGATACCATCTCACGCCAGTTAGAATTGTGATCATTAAAAAATCTGGAGATAACAGATGCTGGAGAGGATGTGGAGAAAAAGGAACACTTTTACACTGTTGATGGGAGTGTACATTAGTTCCACCATTATAGAAGACAGTATAGTGATTCCTCACGGATCTAGAAACAGAAATTCCATTTGACCCAGCAATCCCATTACTGGGTATATACCCAAAGGATTATAAATTTTTCTGTTATAAAGACACATGTACATGTATGTTCATGTCAGTGCTGTTTACAATAGCAAAGACCTAGAACCAACCCAAATGCTCATTGATGATAGACTGGACAAAAAAAAATATGGCACATATACACCATGGAATACTATGCAGCCATGAAAAACAACGAGTTCATGCCCTTTGTAGAGACATGGATGAATCTAGAAACTATCATTCTCAGCAAACTGACACAAGAACAGAAAACCAAACACTGCATGTTTTCACTCTTAGGCAGGTGATGAACAATGAGAACACTTGGGCACAGGGAAGGGAACAACAGTCACAGGGCTAGGTGGGGGAGTGGAGGGGAGGGGAGGAGAGGGGAGGGACAGTGAGGAGGGGCAGGGAGGATGGGGAGCGATAACACCAGGAGAAATGCCCGATGTAAATGATGAGGGGGAGGATGAATGGAGATAGCAAACCACCATGGCTTGTATGTACCTAAGGAACAATACTGCGTGATGCACATGTACCCCAGAGCCCAAATACAATAAAAGATATATATATATGGCACTCAAAAATGGACATGTTTGTTATCATGCCCTTAACTTTATACTCTTTTACCCAGAAAGTATCTTATATACACAAGTGTTGTGGCTCTTATGCCATTCTTTTTTCTGAGTTTGGGAATACATTAGAGAATATTTCTGTGTTGAAAATTATTTTATTGGATATATTCAGTTATCCCTGTAAGTTAGAAACTGTTCTCTTTACTCTCTCATTTTAAATTGAGTCAAATTAAAAATTCTGCCCATGGCCACTTAGGAAATATGTGTGTCTTTTGTTGTGTTTTTCAGGGACAATTGACATTTAATGATGTGACCATAGAATTCTCTCTGGAGGAGTGGCAATGCCTGGACAAGCCTCAGCAGAATTTATATAGAGAAGTTATGTTAGAGAACTACAGAAACCTGGTCTTCCTGGGTAAGGATAATTTTAATTAAACAATTTCTATTCTATAGGTTTCATTTCTGTTTTCTGTAGAATGTGTTTTGGTGATTTATGCTTAGCATAAATGAGTTGCAGATCCTTTTTTTCTGAAAACAGGGATTTATAAGTAAAGAAATAAATTTTTTAAAGATATTTTATTTTTACCTGAACTTTCCATATTTCTGAGTAGATCTGTGTTTTTCAGATCTGTATTTTTCACTCTAGATTATAGGAAATTCCAGAAGTTTAGTGGCATAAAAAATAGTTGCCCACACCTTAAAATCTCATTGCCACCGCCAATTTTTGATTCAGTAGTGTTAGTAAAATTAAGGACCTGTACAAATTTAAAATATTTTCTAAATAATTAGAAATTTTTGTTATAAATTAGTATTGGGGAATTAATTTACTAGAATATTATATTCTCTCTTTAATGAGCACATTATTTGAGTAATGTGAGCAATATTTATGTTATTTGTTTTTAATAAAACAGGTATTGCTGTCTCTAAGCCAGACTTGATAACTTGTCTGAAGCAAGGAAAAGAGCCTTGGAATATAAGGAGACATGAGATGGTAACTAAGCCCCCAGGTATGTGAGAGCAAATACAACAGACAACACAGATGAGAGGTCCAGAAGTCAAGAAAATAGCAGTTCTCAAAATGTGACCTAGGAAGCTATGTTCCAAAGGAAGTAGTTTCTGGGAAGACTGAGATTTTTTTTTAATTTGACTCTCACATAGGGGCATCTTCTGTTTTATGCTTTAAAATTCTCTAAGGATTCTATTTTCTTTTTGGTGATCTCCTTTCAAGTTTACAATGAGAGCCAAAGTTGTGTTCATGCCATATAAGGGACTGTACAATCTGACTGCTTTTTCATTGTCACTGGGGACACACAGATATCTAAATAGTTTTGAAAAACCATGTTAAAGGAATCTGGCTCTTTTACCTCACATTTGCTTTGTCTCTTACCATGTGATATGTCTAGTTACTCTTTGTCTTCCACTATGATTGTAAGCTCCCTGGGACCCTAACCAAAAACAGATGCTGGCACATTCTTCTACAGTCTGCCAAACTGTGAGCTAAATAAATCTTTTTTATGTAAATTATTTTTTTATGAATTATCTACTCAGATATTTCTCTATATACAGAATCATACAATCTATAATGTTATCTATATTTTCCATTTTCTTATTCTTTTATATGAATTTTCTGTTTATTTATTGAAAATGAGATCTCAGTGTCTACAACTATTAATGTTGCTATGTATTTCTTGCTTCATCTTTGTCCATATTTATATATTTTGGAGCCCTGTTGTTATGCATACCTGTACATATAAATATAGTAGTAATAGATCTTGTTAAATTAACCCATTTTACTATTACATAATAGCAATCTTTGCCTCATACTAGTACTTAAATCATATTATGTCCAATATAATTATGATTACCTCATCCAGTTGTGGCTATTTGCATGAAATATAGATTTTTTTTTATTCTATTACTTACAGCCTATTTGACTTATTGCTAAAATTGTTCTCTTGTAGAGAACAGATTGTATGCTTCTTTTCTTAAGCTACTCAGGCATCTTATTTCTTTTCCTTTGAATTAATTAATAAATTAATAAAATAGCATCTCACTCTATCAACCAGGCTGGTTTACAGTGGTGTGATTATGGCAGTGAGCTGCAGCCTCAGCCTCTCAAACTCAGATAATCCTCTCATTTCAGCCTCTCAACTAGCTGGGTTACAGGCACATGCCGTTAAAAACCCAACTAGGTTTTTTGTTTTTGTTTGTTTTCTTTTTTTCTTTTTT